TTCCTCATTTACCTGAGCGAATGAATGCCGGAAAAAAATTTCCAGGATTTCTTTTCTCTGCTCTTTGGTTACTGCCTTTTTCAGCAGGTGCTGTTCACTCATCATGGACACTTGGAGAGACAGTTCATTTTTCTCCAAATAGGTTTTCAGATGTCCGAGGAAGTCCCTGCATTCTGCTTCTACCTTAAACATCAACACCTAAGAACAACGGTGAGATAAGAGGCATTCAGAGCTGAGGAAGAGAATCTTCAGACAATCAAAAGATGCTGTCTTGTACATTACCCAAGATTCCAGCACCTAAAAGGCAATCTTGTTCTATTCTGCTCTTTCATCTTTTAATCTTTAAGACATTGCTTAAACTATTCAGAATACTTTAGATGTTTGGGATTCCATTAATGACTTAGCTATTTACAACGGGGTCTCCCCCACGGTGACATGGACCATGGATAGCTTTTCCAGACTTATTCCTATTGCCGTTAAATAGCTGGCATAAAAGTATGGGTTTTATGGAAATAATCCTGGATGCTATTTTTAGTTTTGCTAAGGTTCCTGGGGGTTGAGAAGTCCTGGAAGATGGAAAGGCAAGATGGGAACCTTTCCAGCATATAAACCAGAACATAAACAGTTGACCATCATCCTTCTTGCTACATACCAGGTCATACTCTTTAGGAATCTTCAGAAGTATAGTCCTGCTGCCTCTGTTGTTGGACATGATGGTCTCCACTTTCTGCTGGCTTCTCAGAGTTATGCTGCGAACCACAGCCAGCTTACCATCAAGCACTTTGACCACTTTGTCTTCCTTCAGTTGGATGTAGACAAGTGAACTTTCTGTCTTGAAGCCATGCCATTCAAGCGCTGGGGGAAGAAGACTCTGTATTAGCCTTGCATTGTCTAACAATCAAGGTCCCCTTCCCCAGTGAACCTTCTATCGTCTTTGAAGACACCTAGGTTGTTAAAGTCAATGCCTCTATTTATACCAATATAACCAAGTTTTCATAACTTTTTTCCATCACTCTCCCATCTCCAGGAATGTAAACCCAACAATATAAACCCAGTGAATAGATCACAAGAGTGTGCAATTGTTTTTGATTAGCAATCAAGATACAAATTCTCCAGGAACTGGACATATGATTCATACTGTGTTTGAATGGAATCTTTGAGGAGCGGACACTCTGGGAGAATTGCTTCTCACCTTGGGTTCCCTCAGCAGATACATCTGGATGAGCGGTGGGATTTTGCCTCTTCTGTAACTTACGGAAAGATCTCCTCCGGAAAAAAGCAACAATCCAGGCAATGAAGAGGCTCACTGCAAGACAAAAATATAAGAAAAGCATTGGCTGATGTTGCAACAGCTGGAGTCCTTCACAGATGCCAGTCTTGAGCATTGAGGATTGTTAGGAACCAGCAAATTCTTCCTCTTAGCTCATGACATTGATAACTTCATGCTACTTTTCTCCAAGTTGGTGTCCTTCAAAGCTATTAAGATAACCAATCACAGACTTCTACGCCTCTTTGGACAGGGGTGGGGAACCTTGGCTCTTTTATGACTTGTGGACTTCAACTCCCAGTCATAAAAGAGCCAAGGTTCCCCACCCCTGTTTTTGGACAATGGTCCTGCTACCTGCATATTCTACGACAATCTCAGTCACCTCTGGTGCCACAGCCTCTTCCTGGTCAGCTTAAAAGGCAGAGGGCATAGTGGAACCCAAAGGGGCTAAAATTAAGGATTGGCCAAAGTTTTCAAGTCCATACACATTGCTTCTCATTCTCTCAGTCTTTACTTTCTTCAGAGACAGCGTTTAAGGTTCTCAGAATGACGCAGGCTGCATCGGATAATGAACCGGGGGTCCAACTTTTATTCCACCGACTGGTTGATGGACTGCCTGAATGACTGGTTTTTCTTTCTTCTGGAAGTGAGCGATCAAACATTGAACAGATGGCCCTCGACTTACAGCAGTTCGTTTAGTGACTGTTCAAAGTTACAACGGCACTAAAAAAACTGACTTAGGACCGTTTTTCACAGTTACAACCTTTCCAGCATCGCCAGGGTCATGTGATCAAAATTCAGATGGCTTGGCAACTGGTTCATATTTATGACAGCCGTAGTGTCCCCCGGGGTCACGCAATCCCCTTTGGCATCCTTCTGACAAGCAAAGTGAATGGGGAAACCGGATTCACTCAACAACCGGGTGACAAACTTATCAACTGCAGTGATTCGCTTAACAGCGGAGGCGAGAAAGGTCGTAAAATGGGGCCAAATATCTCTTAAGAAATGTCTTACTCAGCAATCGAACTGTCGGGATCCATTGTGGTTGTAAGGACTACCTGCACTTATACAGAGGCTTGATTCCAGTGTTCAACAATCTCACTCCCAGGACACGTCAACGGTTGAAGCCCTGCGTTGGAACCTAAAGGAAAACTTCAAACCTGGACAGGAACCCACCTAAAGGCAGGCAACACAGGGCAGCGATGAGGATGCCAAAACCTGCAGCGCTTCCTTTGAAGTAATCTATGACGGTCATCTGTTTGCAGGAAGGGAGGCTCTGCAAGCGCACCTGCCTGGGCTGGGGGCATGGATCATCTGTGGGTGGAGAATGCAATGAGACAGAGAGCTTCATTCAATTTAATTCCTTTGGCTCCTCCCTCCAGCAAAGTTTCTTAAGATGCTCTACACACGCACAGTGGTCCTGGCTTATTAACTGGTTGCTTAGCGACCGTTCAGAATTACGATGGACCTCCCCAGGGCTACTTACGACCTGTTCTCAAAATTCTAATGGCCACACAGGTGGATTAACAAGCATTGGACTTGAGGATGGTATGTTGTAACTCTGGAAATTTCGCCATGCTGAAATAACAAACTGAGGAGATTTGGGCACTCAACACCAGAGCTAATAAAACTGTTCTTGAACCAAGAGGAATGTTATACAAATGTTTACACGTTAAACTTGCAAGGCAGGACAGGACTGTTGTTGAACCGGATGCTACACAAAACTTAAGTTGTCCATATGTTCTATCCAAATCAGTGACGGTCACTGGCGTCAAAATAGCAGGTGCAAACAGGTAATGAGTACCCCACTTCTCTTTAAGATGCATTGCAGACAGGTAAAAGGGGCGGGATGTCATTTGCTTGCCATTCTGGAACCAGGACTATTGCTACAGATGTGACGTGAGCATTTTCTATGCAAAGGCTGCATTCAAAAGACGTTGCCAGTATTGGAAAAAAAAATAAACGGAGAAGAGTACACTGTGAAGTTCTGTCTGATGAAAAACAATGTTCTTATTTATGTCTGATCCTAAATTATTGTTTGGTGCCTTGTCCAAAACTCTTAGGTCCATTCCCTCCACCCCATCCCTGCTTTAGATAATGAAGCCAGAATTTTCTACGTGTACTTGTGATCAGGGATAGAAATGGACACCAGTGAAGAGGTTTAGTACAAAACATTGGCAGCTCCCTCCCTCCCATCCAGGACATAGCACAGAAGCATTGCTTGAGCAGGGTCCACAAGATTATCTGGGACACTACACATCCTCTTCACAACCTGTTTTCTTTGTTACCTTCTGGGAGGAGGGGGCTTCGTGGTATCCGTAGCAGCACATCCAGATTCAGCCAGAGTTTCATTCCATACAGAATTAACCTTGTGAACTCTCAAGCTTCCTCCTTCCATTATATATTCAAGATGGACAGTATTTAATATTTATTTGTTATGTATATGTAGGAGTGTGAGTCTATACATACGTTGTACATAGTATGTTTAGGTATGTGTCATGTATGTGTTTCACTTTGAGAGCGGGCAACTAAATTTCATTTTTGATGTGTGCCGTTGTGCCCACATTAAAAAAAAATGACAATAAAGGTTATCTTATCTGATCTTATCTCATCCCATGCACCTCCAAAGAACATAAGCCGTTACCCACCCTTATTCCAGATGAACACGTTTGTTTGGATTTCTTTTGTGTACATGACAGCAGCAAGGACATCATGGAGGGTTGTGTTCTTCATGGCCTCAATCTCTTCAGAAGTGAATAGTCTACGAAAGGGATGAACAAGACTCAGTGGGATCTTCAATGCGTTAAGCATAAACACAATCGTAAGGCTGTTGTTAGAATGCCAGGTTAGAATAGGGAGGCTGAAGTTCAAATGCTCATTCAAACATGAAATATTTCGGGTGGGTTTGGGATCAGTCGCCGTTTTCCAGCCCAAACTGTCTTTTCGAGTCATTGTGAGAATCAAAAGAAGACAAGGAGAACCACACATCTCACCGTTCTTTTCTCCCCAAAGAAAAGAACGGAAGGATAGAAATGCAAGCATTAAATCAAATGTTGTTTGGATAGGATGTCTTACCCATTCTTGGGGTTTTCAAACCAGAATCGGTCTCCATCTCGTAGGCGAAGAAACTGGTCCTCAATGATGGCTCGGAAAAGGGTCTCGTCCTCTTCCAGTATCCCTCCAAGGAGCAGCTCCAGGGTATCAAGGCTGTTCCCATACAGTTCTTCAGTTAATTTAAGGATCTTAGGAGCAAACACACCATTTGGTTTCAGGATGAATGAGTGGAGGCTGTGCTTGAATAGTTAAAAGAAGTGGGGAAAAATATTGTCCCCTTTTTGTCTGGTACCAGGTACAGAATGGGAAGAGGCCCTTGTGGCCAGAATAAAATAAGTAGGGTTGGATAAATGGGCTTTTGAAGAGGGAATAGGAGCCGTGGTTAAAATGCAGTATTGCAGGCAAACTCTGCCTACAGCCTGGAGTCCAAGCCTGACCAGCTCAAGGTTGATTCATCCTTCCATCCTTCTAAGGTTGCTAAAATGAAGAGCCAGATTATTGGGGGCAATATGCAAATAATGCTGACAGTGTAACACCCAGAGAGTACTGTAAAATGCTCTAGGGTGGTATATACATCTAAATGCTATTGCTAATTAGTAGATTCCAGAGCTTTGATCTGCTTCAGATTATCCCCACTGCTTTTGCTCTTTGAACTAGAACAAACCCCCCCCCCATTATTTCCAATAGAAGACAGAGATGAAGACCAAGCTTCATTAGCTTCTATTTCTTACCTACTGAGAATTTTAAGGAACATAAATTAGAGTGAGAACTCTTTTCTACTGAAGTCTGTATCTGTTGGAAGAGTTCACGTGTTATAAATGCACGTGGCAGGGGTCAAAATAGGATGAGCCTAAGTTAAGCTGGTGAGGGACTGAAAAAGGATCAAGATGTATGTGGTGCTATTCAAAGTTTTGCATATCTCCATTGTGGGGTGCTTGGTGCTCTCTGAGCTTGATGGTTTTCTTCCAGACATTTCATTACCCAATTATGTAATATCATCTTCTTCTTCTTGTGCCATATCCGTTATCGGACGTTGGCGATCATGTTGGCGATTCTGTTTTTATCAGCAGCCGCACGAAAAAGTGCTGCTGAGTTTTGTCCAAACCAGTCCCTTAGATTTTGAAGCCCTGCTATGATATTACCTCGTTGGGTAATCAAGTGTCCTGAAGAAAACCACCAAGCTCAGAGAGCATCAAGGACCCCACAGTTCAACCCTGAGCTTCAGATATTCACTTCTGTTATCATATATCCATTGTGTAGCACAATCTTCCCACAATTGGTTTAATGAGCAATATGCAGTAGCACAATGAGCTTTTTTTTTCCTACATAGAGTGGCGGAAGGTACACAGAGCTTAGACCAGGGGTAGGCAACCCTGGCTCTTTTATGACTCGTGGACTTCAACTCCCAGAATTCCTGAGCCAGCCATGCTCAGGAATTCTGGGAGCTGAAGTCCACGAGTCATAAAAGAGCCAAGGTTGCCTACCCCTGGCTTAGACTAAAGTCAAGCATTGTTCTCACATTAAAACAAAGCTTCTCCTTTTGAGCTTCTGTTTAAGCTTTAAGGGGAAGTCATGGTAGGCCTGCCATCAACGGACAAGACACTGCTTGTTTTCTGTCTGCCTTCCATCCCACCTCATGTCCATTTTAGCTCTCGTGACATGGTACCGTTTGGTTCGTCTGCTTAATATCTGTCCATTTCTTAGCGGGCGGAAGTCCAAAGAACTCTCTGGCTTTATTATAGGTAGATAGTCCAATATCTCTTCCTCGCTGGATCCAACTCGCCACAAAATCCATTCGAGAGTACTTCACCGTCCCGTACCAGTAATCTTAAGAAGAACAAGACAGAACATCCACAGTGGGGCAAAATGGAAGAACGTCCACATGAAGAACAAAGGAATCATAACAGAGAAAAGCCAACTAATTAACTGAAAGCCCCCCCCAAAAAAAGCAGGAAGCAAAGAAAGTTCACCCCAAATTTTTGAGGCTACAGTACTTTTTCCCCTCCCTCAGCTCTGCCAAAGGAATGAAATCTCCTGCAATTATTGGGGAGCCATCAAAAGGGAGAACCAATAAATGGATGAAAAGATATACCTCGGAGATCTTCGACCACGGTGTTGTCTTCCTTCTTAGTAATCTGAGAACTCATTCCCAGAAGAAGATCATCTACATCTTCGGCTGTCTGGATGTTAGGATTCTGACCAAGACAAAAAAGACTTAGCCTGAGCTACATGTCAATTGCAAAGTTTACCTGGTGAGTTCCAAGATGCCAATCAGCACTAAATCTGATCTTGGGAGCAATGCTCACAGTGATAGGAACTATCGGGGCTCAACTGCTTAAGCTCAACTGCTTAAGTGTCCTGGGTTCCTGGGAATGGCACCCACCTATGTGAAAACATCAACTGAATTAAAGGTACAACAAGGTGTCTTGCAATGAAGCAGGACACCGATAATCTATTTTATCATTTCTAAATTGATGAAGGCTGTCCAGGACCTTTGTCAGGTGACCTGTTCAGCCCTACCTGGAGATGCTGAAGGTTGAAATGTGGGACTATTGCATGCAACTCAAGAGCTCTACCTGGGTTATGTTTTGAGGTATATTTTTTTCACGTGACAGGACACCCCGATTCCATGTCTCCAAGACGTTCCCTTGCAATCTCTGTCTCTTGAGTGCCTTCAACTAGGAATGTATGTTTAAGTGGTCTTGTATGGCTCTGAAGCTCCTTACCTGCCGGCTCCAGTAGTTGTTGCATAGGCGGAGGGCTGGAGAGGGCTGTCCATTTATGTCAGTCACGTTTCGGAAAATACAAACTGAATTCCTAAAAAGATTTTTTTTTTAAAAAAAAATGAGATGAGCAGGGTTCTCTGTGGGGGGTGTGTGTCAGTATACTGCCTACTTCCTTTGACAAAAGACAGCAAGAGGGGAAGAGACACCGATGTTGTATGAGATATATAATAGTAGTAATATTCCATCTGCAAAGACAGCCTCCCTTGTCTCTCCTTCCTTCCTTCCTTCCTTCCTTCCTTCCTTCCTTCCTTCCTTCCTTCCTTCCTTCCTTCTTTCCTTCCTTCTTTCCTTCCTTCCTTCTTTCCTTCCTTCTTTCCATCTCTCTTCTCTCCCTTCTCTCTGCTTCCTTCCTTCCATCTCTCTTCTCTCCCTTGTCTCTCCTTCCTTCCTCCCCCTCCCTCCCTCCCTTCCTCTTCCCCTTCCTCTTCCCCTTCCCCTTCCCCTTCCCCTTCTCCTTTTCCTTCCTTCCTTCCTTCCTTCGTTCCTTCCTTCCTTCTTTCCTTCCATCTCTCTTCTCTCCCTTGTCTCTCCTTCCTTCCTTCCTTCCTTCCTTCCTTCCTTCCTTCCTTCCTTCCTTCCTTCCTTCCTTCCTTCCTTCCTTCCTTCCTTCCATCTTAAATACTGAAGTTATAGTCATATCTCAATACTGACTTCACTAGTATTCTTTTTTTTTTTAAAAAAACACGGCTTTTCTTACCTCATATAGACTCCAGATGGGACTTTAGTGCCAAGGAAGAGTGCAGAAGCCACAAGGAATTCCGGAGAGATCCGAGAATCCACATGCTGCTTGTAACCTACAGACACAGAGAGTAGGGCAAGAAATCCTTTAGCAGAAGGATTTTACTGAAGCTAAGAAGATGTACAGAAGGGAGTGCCTTAAAACTCCCTGTGATGTTTTTGAGTTTTAAATGGAAGAACTTAGAAATCAAATGCAATTTAGCATTCCCCTATCAGGGAAAACCTGGATAACTGCCAATATATACAGGCTGAGAAATGATAATGGAGTCCAGCCTTCTCTACATAAGATTATAAAACCGCGAGAAATGTGGCTAAGGCAGTTCTTTCTATTCACAAGAAGACCCTTTATCTTCCTTTTCCTTTATGCAGCCGCTGCAGCTCTCCTGTCTTTCTCCACCTGGCATCTGCTCTGTTGATGTTCCTCACCTTCGTAAGGTCTGAGGCTCGTCTTCTCCAAAAAGATGGGCAGCCACTCATAAAACACGACATTCTAGGAGAATAACGAGAAGATCACAAAACACTGTAAAATGAAATGAGTGTGATTGCCTCTCTTTTTCGGCCTGTGCCATCCTCTCCCCTACCTGGTAAATGGCAATGACTCTCTTGCGAGCATGTTGGAATAAATCCTCATCCGACCAGCCGGGGTTCTCCTGGGCCAGTTTCTCTGCCCAGTAGTTGTGATAGCGGAACCACACGATACTCATGGCTTGCAGGAAGACGTTTTCATTTCCTCTGGCATTTCCAAAATCTGGGAGGGGAGGGAGAAAAAAGAAGAGAAGGAGGGGAGAGAGGAGGAGGGGAGGAGGAGGAGGAGGA